CTTCTACAGCGCGGACCGGCCCAAAATGACCGCGGCCCATCGGGAAACCTCCCGAGTTCCCGCATAGCCAATCCGCCTCTGACCTACGTAGAATAATATCAAAAAAGTAACTCGAAAGAAATGACGCTAAGTTGACAAATTGCAAATAAGTGGCAAATTTACTTGCTTTTTCACTTTTTTTACTTTCCATGAAAATCTAGACGACCTTTCGCAAAATTAGTCATTTTATGATGTAGGCAATTAAATTATCTACAATTTAAGGTATATAAAGTCATATTTCACCAATTTGTTAACTGTAAAATAAAGGTTGAACGCGGAAACATCAGTTTTCAAAAATTGCGCATTATACAGTGTGTCTGCGTTTTTTGTAGCAGGACTTTCACAACTTGTACTAAAATTCATTTAAAAAAAAAGTTCATGTAAACATATATGTATAGATCCGTCGTTTTCGATTTACAGAGTGTTCATGTTTAAAATGAGAATTGATTGTTTATTCGTAAAACGAAAACCCCTTTTTAGACTTTGTACCATATTTTTTTCTATTTTTATCAAGCTGGTATCTTGTTGTGACGCCACTGGAGAAAATAGGACAAATTAAATTATGTGAGAAAATGAGTATTACGTATTATTACAAACAAAGTTGCCAAGATTCAACAAAGTCTAAAAAGGGGGTTTCGTTTTACGAATAAAAAATCAATTCTCATTTTAAACTTGAACACTCTGTAAATCGAAAACGACGCATCTATACATATATGTTTACATATTTTTTTTTAAAGGACTTTTAGTACAAGTTGTGAAAGTCCTGCTACAAAAAACGCGGACACCCTTCATTGCAAAAAGCGATGGATGTTGATGAAATTTAGAGAAAAGACGGTTAATCCAAAGACCAACATGTGTGCCAAAGGCCGATTCAATTGCAAATTTTTTGCAACAATTTGTTTAGTTACTAAACGTTAATTTTAGAATATAATATCGTAGATTTAGGTTCTAACTGATCTAAAGGAACGTATCGAAAAAAAGAAATTTCAAAAAGTTGAAATAAAGTAGCCCTTTACAACTAACGAAGTAGGACGTGCAAAACAGCATTATAAACAAATTGTCTCAGGGTCAGGCAAAAGCCGCTCGGGAATTCGCTCTAATTACTTTAAATAGAGCTTATTTTTACGGTAATTTTTTGAAAACAGAGAAATCACCTACGTATCTTTGTTACCAAGAAGTTTTTTTTATAACGTTATTTGTTAATTAACTATTGGACATATCTGTCCGGTACAAGGGCGTCACATTCTAGCAGCTGCCCCTCTCCTAAAAATTCGAAAAAAGTACAAACATATTCTTAGGCTAAGAAAATATTAGATTTAAAATTTTTAATAAAATATTTTATTTACTTTTGAAAATTAATACATTATATTTTTTTCTCCAAATAACAATAATGTTTATTACTACTCAGATATTTGGAATTAATAAAAAAATTAAACATTGCAATTATCAAAAAAAAATTCAAAATAAAGCAATAATTCTTTTTAAGGACAATATTGGTATAGTTTTACAATTTAATTTTGGCTTGGATTATGTCGATGTTATTTAGAGAACTAAATAAAGGAGGATGTTCTAGCAAACCTCACTATTTTAGCAATAACTTGAAAACGAAAAAAGATATCGACCTCCGGTTTGTGTATTTGTTTTCCATAATGAATGGTCTATCAAGCCATGATAAAAAACCTACATCGTTGCATTTAATTTTTTTAGTAAACGGAGACAATTACAAAACTTTCCTCATTAACGTCTACCGTTGCACAGGAAAATAATATTTTTATTCCTATATCATAAAAATAAATTTTGTTAATAGTTCTATAAAATGAGCCATCGTTTATTGAAATCGATTAAGGCATTTAGAAGTTATGACAATTTAAAAATTTCAGGATAGCGTGCTAATAACAAAAAAAAAGTTCAAACAAAACTTGTGAAGGGTTTAACAGTGTATCTAAAAAATGTATTTTCAACTTAGGTTAAATAAGCAAAATTTCGAAAAACCGACAATTTTCTGTAACACTATAGCAGTTGCGCCCCCTAGCGGTTAAGTTACAAACTTGAAAATATTTTAAATCAATTTCTTTTGGTCGTATTTGTTAATAGATTTTTTACCCCATAATTGTAGCACGTCTAGTTTCCTATATACAGCCGCTCGATACCGTTAATGGATCACCCTGTATATGTAACGCACCAATTTTATATACGGGGAATGAAAAACGTTTTTAATTTTGTGGGTTACCCATAGGTTTAAGAAATTTATATTTTATTTCTTTAATTGCCTCTAAAATCCCGGTCCGATACGACCAATAGTTAATTAACAATTAACAATAGCTGTATTTGTTTTACACACTTGGTCACTTTGGTTAATTTACTTTCAGTAGAGTTCCGATCAAGTTCGTTTTTTTAAACAAGTGAACAAACCAAAATATGACCAAAATCATTTTCCTCTTTCCGATCTAACCTAGCCTAATACTATCGTGGTTAGTAAGTGAACAAGATAATCGAACAAAACATAATAATCATAAATCTAAATAATAAAAATAAGCCGTTGGCCGTTGATAATGGATATGGATTTATCCGAAGAAGATATGTTGATTGTAAGTATGTCGGGCATAGTATGATTGACAACAACAACCTAATTAAACTGAAATTGAACCGACGTTAAAAGTCAAAATTTAAAATGGAGTAGATGTGTATTTTGTTTAACCTAAAGTTAGTTCAAATCACTGTCACTTCTAGTTTGGTCAATTTGACCAAGCTAAACAACCAAGTGATAAAACAAGTACAGCTATTATATAAAAAAGTTATCTTGGAAACAAAGAGGCGTAGGCGATTTATATATATTTTTTAATTACCGTAAAATAAGTAAAAAGAGCGAATTCCCGAGCGGCTTTTGCCTGACCCTGGGACAATTTATTTATAACGCTGTTGTGCGCGTCCTAATTTCTTAGTTGTAAAGGACAACTTAATTTCAACTTTTCGAAATGTTTCTTCGATACCTTTCTTTGGATCAATTAGAACCTATATCTGCTATATTAACTTTAAACGAAATTAATTAATAAATAACTGGAGCAACAATTTCACGGTTATTGAATCGGCGTTTGGCACACATGTAGGCCATTGGATTGGCCGTCTTTTCCATAAATTTCATCACTATCCATCGCTTTTTGCAATAATAATGCGCAATTTTCGAAAACTGATATTTCCGCGCTCGACCTTTATTTTACAGTTAACAAATTAGTGAAAAATGACTCTAGGTATCTTAAATTGTAGGTAATTTAATTACCTACAACATAAAATAACTAATATTCCGATTATAATCTAATTCGATTGGAGTAATACGGTATCAGAAAATGTCAACTTGTTTCGTATAAATTGAAAGAAGCCGATTGGTTTTGTATGCATAAGAGACGAAATTATATGCTGCAGTATTTTTTTATCAAATAAGTATAAGTCAACGTCTCTTTATTTGTGTAACTAATAAGATTAAATATTGAACAGATGTTCGTACATTAAGATATCAACGACTTATTTGACCTTCAATATACGAAAAGGGTAATATTTAGGAGGAGCTCTACTTATAAAACTACGATATACATATATGTCTATATATTTGTATTATGTGTATATGTGATGCCATTTTTTTCCGAATAAGCTCAGAGACTTGATGTTTTTTTAATAGTTTTCGTTTTGCTATTTGATAAAATTGCAATTTTTATAGAAAGTATGTTGTTTATAGGACAAATAATTTAATTCGTACCAAAAAATAACTCAAAGATTTTATGACTACAATCACCAACTAAAATTTCAGTCCATGCAAAATTTCTGCCTTTGAATCTTGTAAAAAGAACTTGTAATACCAGAAGAAATAAATGTTTCCATTTTTTTCTGAACTTTAAAAGACAACCTTCATTAAAATGACTGAATTTATTCTTAAAATTGAATATTGTGATTAAAAAAGTACCTATATTTAACAAAGTAAATACCAAATAATAATTCTACAATGTGCTTTAACACGGAACAGAAATAGGAACACTTCTTTCCCAAGTAAATAGTTGTAAATTCATTTATAAGACCCAAAGCCTGGACTTAAAAGCTGAGAATTTTATCTACAACTTGTAAAAAAATCGTCGGTCAGGCAACAGAAAAATATGTCGCTCAATAAATTTACTCGGAATTTTGCTTGTATCGAATTTTAAGTCGGTGAGTGTATTAAGCGAAATTTTGCCGCATTTCTTCATATTACAAAATAATTCTTCCACTTACCATTCTAAATTCCACAATAACTACAACTAAAATTAAAGTCTTTTTAGTGTGGCACTGAAAAAATTAATGAGTATACATTTGACTTTTTAGAACATAATGCTTTTGCTTACCGGGCATTTTTGATGTAATATTGGTACATACTTTGTTTATAAACAATTATTCTACAGACCCAATTACTCAGTATTGATATTATTTCTCTCTGTAACAACCACACATTTGTTTGCAAAATAACTTATGCAAATATTTGTCAACCAATTTTTTCGTTCCTCTCTCTCTTCAAATGCTATGTAGATCGTAGTGTGTCATTTAATAATTTTTATTTTTTAATTTACCCAATGTGTATGCATATTTTGTTTTTATTTGGTCATTTTCTCTCGAAACAAAGATACTGTAGAATTCTTATTTTATTTGATATTCACAGTTTTTTTTTAAACGTTGTGACAGTCTTGCCAAATTAAACAGCAACAAAATATAATTTATTCTTTTTATGCTTAAATTTTTATTTTTTATCAAACTTTCTAAAAAAAACATTAACTTTTCTCAAATTTCGGGTGTATAAAAATCAGAAATGCAGTGTTTATTACTTTTTATCTTTTTGTAATAAAAAAATAATTTTTGAAATACTTATCTCAAACAATATAAGTTTTACAACCTTGAACCCATTTTATTGCAGACACACTGTATATGTGTACTAAAAAACCACGAATTTTTAAAACATTTATTGAAAAATACAATAGGTACTTACATAAAACTGACATCAGCATCTCAAGTTCATATTTTTACATTAAAATTACAATAACGTTTATTATTTACATTAAAATTATACATATTTTTTTATATATATATATTATAATCTACAAAGATGAAAGGTATTATTCCCGAAAACAAAACTAACAATCCTTGCGGTTAACCAGCGTGTGTGAGTAGATGAGAAAGATAGATACACGTTATACGATTTTTACAAAAGAAAAAAACAAATATATTTACAAAATTATTTCTTGATAAAAAATCCATCAACTAAACCCAAAAAATGCGTCTTCATTAAGCGAAATCCGAAACAATCACACATTGCTCCCTCCGAAACATGCCGGAGGACATTTTTTTTTTTATTGATTATTGAAAACATCCATCGAAATACCAAAAAAACGGCTACTAGGCTCTAGGTTCTTCAGTACAGTCCCAGTTGATTCGAGGCTTCTAGAAATCAGTATGATCTGGACCTAAAAGAACCAGAGAAGAAATTAATTCAGAAAAATAAAAACTCACTAAAGACTGTTTGTTTATTTTCGCGGCGGTATTCGAAATACACAGGGTGTCCCGAATTGCATAAGCCGAACTTTTCTGGTGATTCAACTCAAAATAAAAGAAAGTCCACTTAAATATGGGTCGAGAAATGCACAGAGAAAATTATTCCAGTAGAGACATTATGACATTATGCATTTCTTGACCTATACTTTCAAAAACATTTTTTATATTTTGAGGCGTTGTTTCACCAGGTAAACTTTGGATTGTGCAATTCGAAACATCCCCTATAAAATTAAAACGAAACTTGCAAAGTCTTTAAACCGCTACAGAATTTGATATAAGGCCATAGTACAGAAAGTATGACGTCACAATAGTGGTTTGGACTAGAAAGACAGGGATTTTTTCCTCTAGTTGCCCTTTGGAAATAAATTTAAAATTATATATTCCTATGAAACTAATTTAAAACAAAATGATACATGAAAACAGGTAAATGTCGAGTATATAGACCAACAGCACAGCCTACACACGACAATGACAATAACATGTTTGAGCTGTGGTGGTGGCAAAAAGAGTTCTATTTGCATTCTTGATAAAGTCACTCGCCAACGACAACTAGAATTACTCAAAAAACCAGTTACTGTGTTAAAATGGAGAGAGAGGGAGAAAACCACGCCATGCGACATTCAAACGTTCCTACGTGTATTAATGAGAAAACTTGTATTAGTTGTCACACCAATGTTGTTAAAAAAATCTCTTGAGTAGCAAACTACACCTTTCATTAGACAATTTAGAATTAATTTGTTAAGAACGAGTAAGTCACTATAAAACAAAAACAAAGCGGTCGTTAAGGACATTGTTAATTCTCATTAATGTACCGGACATCTAGGCGAGATATAGGTTATGTTGTCAATGAAACCGGACCAACGATAGTGACTTTATTGCCAAATGCAAATAAAACGGTAGTTGTAATAACAATAATATGTCTACCCTCCGCTGTAACGGCAGATTGGCCCTTGTATGGGAGTGGGGAAGGCATATTATTATTATGCGTGCCGCTAGGAACGACTTTTGATGATAATGATTTGGAAGATTGTTTTCAAGGTGGAGTTTTGCTCCAAAAGAGACCAGATTTATATATTAGCTGGATTATATACATCTATGAATATTTTTGCAACACATTTCAGATGAAATGCTCATTATTGATAATAGTTTACCATGAAATTATACAAAATGTATATTACAGTCTATGATACATAAATACATTGTAAGAAAAAACTACAAATAAGTAATTGTTTATTAAATTCATTACAGTTTTTCTGGTTTATTCGGTTTTTATAGAACCAAGGATAGTATCCATAGATGGTATAACAGCCAACGTGGTTTAAAGCCTACCAAAAAAAAAGAAAAAAATACAAAAAAAAACGCTACAAAACGTGATCAATTTCAGAGCAGTGAATCAATTCCAATAATTGTACCTCAAATGATAACCGGGATCCGATAAATTAAACAATTTTCGCAAATTTCTCTCGTTGGTTCGTTTCAAGAGGCGCTCGTGACTTCATTCGATTCTAGGGGATTCTCGGGAGTGGGGGAGGAGGCGTCAGAGCTTTCCAGGAGTTTTAGTAATTTTTTATGGATGTTCTTCGACGATAACACCCTAGGACACTTCGCCAACAGCCCCGCGATAGTTCCCGTCTTACTTAGACTCGAATGCTCTTGCAGAAGTTTGAATGCTTTCGACGGCAATATGTCGTAGTTTTCGTCGTAGATCCGCTCTGCCTCGCTCCAAGTCTCGTAGTACTGCTTGTACTCGTCGTAGTTCCCGTTGAACTCCTGAGGCGTCTGCGCGGCCGTCGAACTCCCGGTGCTCTCCCTCAGAGGCGATAAAAAGCTGCTGCAGTCCTCCGAGGAGCCGTCGAATCCCTCCAGGTCCTCCTGAAGGATTCTAGCTGCGGCTGCGAATAATTTCTCTTTGGGCATGTTCCTGAACATTTGCCCCTTCTTGCGCTTTAGTAAACTTTGGACCAGTTCGTTGACCAGCTTCTCGTTAACCGGCGAACCTGGTGAAGTTATGCCACTGGAACACAAACTGTCCGTTTCGTTTGTGTTTAACGGCAGGCTCAGCTTGTCTCTTCTAGGAGGTTCCGTATTTGGTGTGCCATTCTTGCGTATAGTCAGATTATTAAATTTGTCACTGCTTGAATTCGTAGCAGTTTCTTCTTCTTTTTGTTCTTCCTCCTCGTCCTCCTCCTCGTCTTCTTCGTTTTCGCATTCGTCTTGTAATAATTTGAATAACCTAGAGTGTGTAGCCGCGCGTTGGTATCTCGTCAGTTTTTTGAGTTCTGGAAATTCTTCGGTGTCGGATATGTGTCTACTCATATCGGACGTCACCCCTGAATCTCCTTCTTCCTCCTCACTGTATTCCTCGAAGGATTTCAGGCTGCTCTTCGTGGACGTGGTCTTGCTACGGTTTTGGCTAGTAGTCTCAATGGCTGTTATTTTGTCTTTGACTGAAGCTTTCATTTCTTGCTCTTGCTGCTGTTGCAGTTTACTTTGTTTTTGTCTGATTGTTTCCTTCAAAGCCTGAATACGTTGCTGAATAGCTTTTTTTTGTGCCTCTATTTCTTGATTATTGTTTAAGTCGTTTTCCTTTTGTTCGTGATCTTCGCTTTCATCTTCTGACGAATCTGTCTCTTCGGAAGAATCCTCGCTTTCTTCGGCTTCTTTGTTGGTGTAACTTTCTTCTGTTGATTTACTTAATTCTGGAGTATCAGAGTCTTCTTCTGTTTCTATATTAGTTGCTTCTATAGATGAAGTGTCTTGGTTCACTGACGCAGTTTCTTTTCTTTCACTTTCTTCAGACCAGCTCTTACTATAGCTATAATTGTTATAGCTAGCAGAACTATTCTTTTTAGATCTAGGTACAACTTCATTATCTTCACTTTTCAGTGTACCCCAGAAATCTGCATTACTTTCCGCAGAATTATTTATAGCAGTTTTCGTTGTTTTATCTTCGTTATTTGATTTAGATGCTTCTTTATTCATTGGGCGGTCGTCAGTTTTGGGATTAATATTAGAAACTTTTCCTTTACTGCTAGCCTTTTGATTTCCATTTGTAGATTTATTATTGTCTACAACTTTTCTAGGTAAATGGATATTCCAGAGACCAGATTCTTTTTGTATCTGTTCTAATCTGGCAACAAAACTTTCCATTTCTATTAGTTTGCCTGTATTTACTTCCTCTTCAAATTCATCAATTTTATCATAAACACTTTTTGCTTTGGCATAATTATTTTTTGGTTTTATCTCTTCCTCAAGTTTTTGGGAAGCAGTAGGTTCTTGTTCTGTCGAGGAAGTAACAGTTTGTAATTTTTCTTTTTTCTCATCTGCTTTGCCAGTTTTTCCTGTATCACTTTCACTTCTAGGAGATTTGACAGGTTTAATATCTTCTAAGTTATGGCATGGAACGTGTTCATTTGCAGTATTTCCTTTTTTCAATATAATAGGTTTAGGTGCTGGCAGATCGTCTTCTTTGCCTATAATACCCCACCAATCCTCACTTTCATCACTTTCTTTACCTTCTTCTTCGTCATGGTAATGACGTTGAGCAACTGGATCTTCAATATCATCTTCTTCATATTCTTCAATAGTAATCCCAACTGGTTCCCCTTTCTTCAAGTTTTCCTCGAATGTTTTGATTTCTCTGTCGCCGATGCTGACCACAGCTTTGATTTCTTCTTTTTCTTCCTCGGTGACGCTAACGCAAAATTTGAATGGTTTATTTGCATTCATGATGTTTGGGCTTGTGTCCTCGTCGTCACTTCTTTCCGCTATAGTGGTGGAATCGCTCATAGCACTAGCAGATCTCATTCTGGAATCAGTCCTTTCGCTTTCTTCATAAATAACGCTAAGTTGATGTGGATAGGAATCATCGTCGACGATGTATACTGAATTCTCTTCATCTATTTCTTCGTTTCCATCTTCAGTGAACTCTTCAATGCCTACTTCCTCGTCCGAACAGTGAGAGTCATCTTCATCTGCGTACAACAGGATATTATTCACAGACCTAATCGACTTCAGAGGGTTGCTTGCGTTATTTCTGTTATTATCCTCCTCTGTTTCTGTATCGGAATCGGATTCAGATGTATCATCCACTTCTACTTCAGGTTCTGGTTTTGGATTTTCTACCTCTACTTTTTTGTTTACTACTGTCTCCTTAACATTAAGAGTTGGCGTAACGACTATTTTTGGGGTGGCTGCTCGTAAACTACCACTGAAACTATTTCTTCTTCTGCTTCTTTGGCTATTATAGTAACTCATTTCATCTGTGGACGAGTATCCAGCAAAATCGTCTGTGTCACTATTTGGTCCATAGTATGGATAAGGTGGGTACATCGGGGGATAAGCGTAATAGTAAGAGTAGTAGTACGGGTCATAGTAAGGAGGATATTGAGGGTATCCTTGAGCTTCTTCTCCCCAAAAAGGTAGAGGGGTAGATCTTGGATTAGTGGCAGTTTCAGCATCGCTTTCGCCTTCTGTTGTGGACGCGCGCCTGGGTGGGGGATAGGGGTACGGTGGCATGTAGTTCCAAAAAGGCACCGGAGTGTGTCTTGGAGTAGGAGTTGGTGTTTGTCTGGGAGTCGTTCTGGCGCTTGTGTCTGTGGAATCGTCCTTGGAAAGCCCTGTTTGGGGTTCTTGGTAATAGTACTGGTAATAGTCGTGCCAATAGGGGGGAGGAGGATAGGGGGGGTAGTTAGGGTCATAGCCCCATTGCTCGTAAGGGGTAGCTTCGTATTGCTCGTCGGTGTTGGCTATAACAGAATTAACAATTTCGATTTTAAGATGATTTCATTGAATAAAAAATAGGTAGGCTGGATTGGTTTGTCGTTTATTAAACATTTTAAGGGTAAAATATGAACGAATATAATGGAGAAGTCATAAGTAGTTAGTTCTGAATGTATGGACGGGTATGATCATGCGACCACTCAATATTATTCAATTTTGAAAAATAATGGGAAGGTAAACTGAGTATATTTGTTCAAAAATTTGTCGGAATGTACTCTCTGAAGTTGCTGATAGACATACCACAATTATCTGGTGCAGTCATAGCTTGCAACATTTTGAAGGATCTACTGGGTATTGAACTTCCAGTGTACTTCTTAGGTTCTGGCACTACTTGTTCGCTAGGGTGGACATATGGTTGTGGTGGATCATCATCTAAAACAAACGAAACATTAATGTAAGTTCAACCAAGTGATCACGTTGCTACTTACTTTCTATTTGTACCGGTATGGTCCTAACCTGGGGTCCCTTTCTTTGTGGTTGCGGACCGCTTGGTACTAAAAAAACAAAACAAAAAATATGTAGGACATTGGATTTTCAATCGTTTTTCGAACCAGTTTGTTAGTATTAAGAAGAATAGTGTTATTAGAATAATTTCGCTTATAGGACAAATGGAAAACAAAACGCTATTATAGTTCTGATGCAAGTTGTCTACTAAAAACGATGCTTCACAAAAACGTTTCGTACCGGTTTGCTTAGCGCATTGATCGGGGCCAGGCGACCCTTCTGTCATATTTTGCAACAATTTAAACGCCTTTGATGGAATAGCTGCGCCACGATATCTAGGATCAACTTCTCTCTGATTGTTATCGTCGTCTGCGGCTAGTCGCAACAGAAAGAAAACGTTAATTTTGTCTAAACGTTTCCACAATATGGCAAGAAAACTACCACTGTTATCGCAAATCTGTATGAAGGGAAATGATGACAAACTCTGCAATACTGAAAGTACGGTCTAAGGAAAAATGATTGAAATAGTTTAATGTTGCCATGTTAGAGTGTGGTGGATAAATATAAAGTGATATTGCGTTATATCGATATTAATCGGAAGAAATGAAGACAAGTCAAGGTAAAGAAAAGGTTTCCCTCCACCAAAAATATACAAAAAAATATATACCACTCTCGTCTAATATTCTAAAAACTTTAGAAGGAATATGACCACCTCTGTATCTCGGGTTTTCTTCGTCATGGTAATGAATTTCTAAAATAGTAAAACATAAAAGCATTTTGGCTAAGAACATCTATGACCTATTTTTTTTTGGTTTGGTAAAGGATTTTAGTTCTTACCTTGCTTAAACTTATTCATCAGATTCTGATCACCCTCGTTCAATTTCATTCTCCTAATTTGATCAGCAGGTGGTTGTTGGAAGTTTTGAGGATACCTAGGTCCATGTTCTGTGATCGGAGCATTCTCGTCTTCCTCGTCGTCATCGGTCTGAGTTATCTTCTGGATGATTTTGAACGAATTCGACTGTGTAGGATTATTGCTCCAACTTTGTTGTCTATTTAAGGATCTACGAGTTAACGATTTATTGTTTAGTAGGTAATGACAACAACCAGCTTAATTTACCTGTTACCGCCTGGTGTTGGGGGACTCTGGGATCCTTGGTTTGTCCCCTCTACAGCTATAGGTATTACCCTAGCTCCTTGATTATCAACCTTGTATGGTGGTGCTATCTGTTGCTGCCACTGTTGCTGCTGCTCTTGTTGCTGGGGAGGCGCTCTCGGCCCAGGATGTTGCAGTACAACCGGTTGTGTTATATAGACAGCTTCCGTCTTCGCTTCTGGTTCTTGCTGTTGCGGCGGCTGTTGGTATGGTGCAGGACCGCCAGTGTTTGTGCGAATTATTATGCGGACTGGTACTCCCGCTGGTTGCTGAATTTGTTGTGGTTGTTGGTTGTATTGAGGCTGTTGATTGTATTGCGGTTGCTGGTTAAATTGTTGAGGGGGCTGTTGTTGTTGACGTTGCTGAGGCCATCTCTGTTGCTGTTGTTGAGTGGGTGGAGGTTGAGTCTGTTGTACTTCCTACACAATTACATACATTTTATTAAATTAAATACCATTGCATTATTTTGTATTTTGTATCACCTGAGTAATCGGTCTTTCCTCGTTCCTCTTGGCCCATGGAGGAATCTCCTCTTGTTGAGGCTTTTTGGCTTGCCAAGGTCTAGGTGCCTCCTTAAGAGGCGGTGTTTGTAACCCTGGGCTATCCGTACTCCTCTCAGGTGGACTTGGAGGTGAGACCACGCGTTTTTGCGGCTGGGCTTGGGCTTGTTGATTGGTCGGAGGGATATACAGTGACCCTAAGTGGGCTGTGCTCGTCTTTACCTCCGGTTGGGCGTTATTTTGCCGTGGTATGGTTGGCTGCCTTTCTATCACTGGTGGTTGGTACCTAGGCGATTCTTTCGTGGCTTCTGGGGATCGCTGTTGAGACGGTGGTGGTTGGTACTGTTGTTGGGGTTGTGGGGGTTGGTATTGCTGCCTAGGCTGTTGGTACTGCTGCGGCTGAGGTGGCGGTGGTTGATATTGTTGTGGTACAGGTGAGATTGGAGCACCCCGTTCGACTACTGGCGGTTGATACCTGGTGAAAAGTTAGTATTGTATCTTTAGATATGCTTTTGAGAAGGAGAATGTAATCTACTTACCTTTGTTGCTGCTGCTCGTATTGTGGTTGGGACCTCTGCCCTGAAGGTGGCGTGCCGGGGACAGGTGCGGCTTTTCCTTCCTGGGAGAATAGCTCATCCACTATGCTCTTCCTCGGCGCCGGACCACCTGTCTTCCTCAACATGGCCATAGGGTTGTCGGGTATAATCTTCGTCATATCCGGCCTCTCCAAGACCTGGTTATCCGCTGTCATCACCTTCTGCGTGGGCAAGGGACCGGACGGAGGTGGTGGTGGAGGGGGAGCGTTAAAAGGCGGTGGTGGGGGAGGAGCTCCACCCCTTGACATGGGTGGTGGAGGCGGTGGTCCTGAGGGAAAGACTTGTACCTGGGGTTGAGGACGCATGGCGACTTGCACTGAGGGAGGAAGGTTGGCTAGGTTCTGGGGTGGAGGAAGTTGGGGTTTGGGGATATCTCCAGCGCCTGCTAAATTAGCGTTGCGCTCTATCCGCCTTTGCATGCGGGGCGACCTCACTTCCGACAGGTCGATGCCTCCGGGGGTGTAAGTGAAGGGTTTTTTATCCTTGGTCATCATGGCGTTTTGTACGCACTGTGGGGGATCCATGGCTCTGATTTGCGTCTGAAATAAGAGTCTTTGTATGAGAGGTTTCAACAGCTATCTGTAACGAACTTAGAATATATAAAAAGTCGTTGCGTCCTTTCTCATAATGGGGATATTATTTTATAACAAAAGAATGATTAATAAGACGCTTACATTACATACATTGCTGTTTAGGTGTAAAATGGTTCTTATTAGTGTGGTATAAGAAAAGAGTTCTATGTTGAAGTGTGGAATAAAATTACCCACAAAGTAGTTCTTTCTACTCATTATTTAATGAAGTCATGCTTGATTTGCTTATTTAAACTTTTAAATTTATAAAATCGCGAGTCATGAAGAAACAACACATCTCATGTATTTCGAGCTGCATACTTGTTAAATCCCACCTAACAATATATTCTATTTTATTAGCATACCAGATTTATAAACTATAATTTAGTAATTTATGCCGTTGATCGCTGTGGATAAAAGCGCTTTTAACTTTTTTTTTACTGCCGTTCCTGAATATGAAATGTTAGAGGTTAACTGCATGTCTAGACAATATATAACAATATATACGACATTAAACAAAACATATACGTATAAAGGAAAATGTATTCAAATGGTCGCTTTGTGTAAATAGTTTTCTTGAATCGTATACAACGACAGTTTACTTGAAATATGGCATTATTAGGTGCATAAGAATGATTTGTTCTCGAATCTTGAGCTTGAAGTTTGTATATTTGTAAGTTAGAAAAGAGAAACATGTATTACTAAATTTTTTTGTTGAAATTTTGCGCTTGCGACAAAAACATATTTTTTGCTTTTTCCAATCGGGAACCGGAACTGTGTGAATCTTCTTTTGTCATGTACCTATACGGTTTCGCCGGGAATATTGTTGTTACCGGGCTGATCTTGCACATTCCATCGAGAGGCATTAGCCAGCGAGTATGCAAGCGCGCATAAATAACCGCGGTTCGAACGATAGTCGATTGTTATTTTAATAAAGCGTGCCGATATGTAGAAACAAGTTACGGTCTACGGTTTTGCCAGCAAAACGGAATCGGGCGCTAATGCGTGCAGTAGCGTAGTTCGAGTATTTCCTAGGGGGGTGGGATCTGATTGAAATTTCAATCGATTTGCAGAATCCTTTTTTTAACTGTACAGGCTACTTCGATTGAAAATTTAGGCTTTGGGGTTTTCGAGGGCGCTCACTTTTAATAGAATAATTGTTGTAGCACTTCCGGTCATACCGGAAGTAGCTGTCAACGTCGTTATTTTAAATGGAACACTCTATATTTGATTGCATTATCGATAAAGGTAAATTAAAAATAAGTAAAATATGTTGAAGGCTCCCTGTACGTAATTCTAACCGTTTTCGACATTTTATACAAATTTTGACAGATGCAAGCGTTTCGAAAATTCCTTATACAGGGTCGGAAAGTCCCCATGGTTCATCGGCCGTTATGTGAGTGCGATAAAGTAAGTCATAGAAATCCATGCGATAGAGAAGGATGGCTATAATCATAGACACCGCCCGTTTCGCCCTTCCACAAATAAGATCCACTTCCACTTGTAATTCAGCGACCGGTGGTCATCTTTGTTTTTGTCGTTTACCTTTTCTGTAATAGATGTCACTACTTATACAATTCCGACTTCGTATTTCGATATGTTAATACAAATTTATTTTATGTCCATGGGACATTCACCATGAGTCAGAATTATTAGCAGCATTTATATGATTTGGTATTTTGCAACATTGAGGAATTGGACACGAATGAAACTTGGCTAGCTACGTATTATAACAGCATTCTTTGTAGAACATTGAGATATTTTATATATTTTTTTATAATTTCATTAGTTGCATCTTTTAAACACTGAGGGAATATATTTACAAAAAATAATAATATGTATTTTCTTCCAAGGGAATGCTATTATTAGTAACTGAAAATACAATAAAGAGCAAATAATTAAGAAAACAATGAAATGTAAAGTAATCAAAATTTTAAATTATAATATTCTTTCTTCTTTCAACTTCATTCCAAATATCATAAAATTATCTAATAAATTATTAGTTATTTGCAATTCATTATGTTAACTATTCTTTAAAAATCTGTCAGGACAACATTAAAAATTAGAGAATAATTCCAAGAAAACTAACCGAAATTATTTTATTAATTGGTCTATTTCAGTTGCAAAATAATGCCAAAGCATAGAAATTCAGGTAATAACTCTAATTTTAGGTGAATGATCCATGGATATAAAATAAAATAAACTTAAAATACGTGATAATTGTAGAATGCTATAAACGACAGTACCGATATTTGTCTTTCAAGGCACATTTGATTATTATATTTTTAAATATTCTTGAGAATGAAAGAAAACCGCAAATATCTCAGAAAATCGAAAGTTTCTATAATATGGTGCAAAAAATACAGAGGGTTCCATTTGAATTTAAAAAGTTTTGCCGGTTTAAGTTTTCAAAATGTAACGTTTAAAATAGAATACTATAATTTTCTTCAGGTAATTTTGATAGTGGAAAGTAGTGCATCTTATGTTTCTTTGTGTCTTCCGAAAACCAAGTGAAATCTTCCAGTACAATGAAAGATATAAGGAATTTTCGAAACGCTTGCATCTGTCAAAATTTTTATAAAATGACGATTCTCTCGAAAACGGTTAGATTTAGGTACATGAAAGCCTCATCACTTTTGACTTAATTTTAATTTATCTTGTCGATAATGTAATAATATATAGGGTGTTCTATTTGAGAGCACCGCCCGAAAATCCCAGGTCCCAAATTTTCAAAATTCAAATCGATGTGGTCTTTGAAATATTCTAATGATCCGTTACTATAAGACCGCCTATTATTATTGTTTTTTAACAGACACAATACAGTGTTTCCAGTGATGGACTGTGTTGACATAAAGTTAACTGTTAGAAACATTTCGTAATACAACTTTTCGATATGATATACGAAAAATTGAATTGAATTAGAATCAAGAATGTGGTAGAGATGTTTTAAAATCTTATGAGCTTTGACCTTCATATGCGCAGAAACATAATTCCGACCGTCGCCTAAATTATTCTACGTCCTAAAAACATTACACCTATTATTTACAGTCTCTCTCGAGCTCTAGCGTAAACAAGCCTTTGATCCGATTACAAATATCATAATAAAATGCCCTATTCTTTATTATTTTAATTTAAACAATAAAAATATATATAACGAACGTTCGCCAGTTGACTTTATTGATGCCCGAGCGCCTTAGTTCATTTCTAGTTGTAATGAGGCACGTGTTCTAATTCTGAGTCAATGTTTTCACAACGTGCTTATTAGAAGAATTATGGGGATACGCCACGCCTTTCGCGCATTTCGCGGCTCATGAGATATTAAAAGATCTCTATAATCTGATTACTACTGATTAATGACAGTATAAAGTATAGTAGAATCCTATTTTGGTCAGTAAAGAAGATATTCCTTAAAAGAAATTTAAAAAATTGCCAATATATCATCAAAAATCATCGGTTTCGCCTAAGTTGTCGAAAAAAACAATATCTATATAAACATCGCTAGTTAAAGAAAAGAAAGAAAGCTAATATTTTATGCTAGTATCCATAAAACACATCTTTAGCGTTTATAAAAATGTTGGATTAACATTCCTCTCCAGAATGTCGCAATTATTTGTGCAGGAGCATGACTATCTAACGAAGTTGATCGTAATGATAAATTGAAGCCTGCGTTTCCTCCAGCATGGAAACTTAGTTGCGCTAATGGTGCCGGTCCTGATAGCAACAAGGCGCCACTTCTGTCTCTGACTCACTCCTAGCTAGTGAAAAGCGTGGGCAACATTATTTACACTGTAAAAAAACTCACAGAATCCGAGTTATCTAGGGTCCTTGACCAGCGAAATTATTGTAAAGTTCTAAATTTATGCAACGATCGGTATGCCCGCCTAATTTTCCGTATTCCTTCGCCAGTTGCGCAGTTTTCGGCATGACAGCGTGATTTAGGTGGCTGGGAAAAACAATCGCCGATGCTCATGGGCGGGGTTGCCAGATTGGGCGGAATCCTGTCATTTGGGCTATTTCTCAAAGCATTTTGGCGTCCCAATTTCTCATTAGGAGACTGGCGCCTGATTTGGGCCACGTCTCAGCATATCCTGTATATGTGTTTTTTATTTATGTACAAATCCATACAACCTTTATTATTCAAGATAATCGACTGAACTTTTTTTTATTTTAAAGGGCATTACAAACTGCTTCTCTTGAACCTACTAGCGTTTTTAAGACGGAAATCCAGGGCCAGGGCCTGCTACGATTTTTCTTGTACTCCCAAATTTCAATAAGTATAACCATTTAGCGATTTTTTTATTTAAAATGATAACATGATAATGTTAATCAGAACCTTTCAAAACGTGGAAACATGTAACATTTGAACAAAAAATATATAGCTGATGGAGTTTAGATTTTTTAAAGATTTCCGAAATACAGCCTTTATGTCTCGATAAAATAAGGATATTTATATTTGTTTCGTTTTTGCTTATTTTATTTAGATTATTTACTTAGTTTTTTTATATACTCTGTTTCTAAATATTATTATTACGCCTAAGAATCTCTACTTTATACAGGGTAATCCACAACTTATCCAAAAAAATTTGGGAATAGATGCGGCATGAGAAATGGAGTTAATAACGTAAAAAAAAAATTGTAAAATCCTTATAGTTTCCGAGAAAAAAATTATTGAAGTTATAGTACATTCAACCACTACATAGCCGGACAACTGTAGTCTCTAGCGTCATTCGCAATACGCGTGGAGAGCCATGTGACTCCTAATACTGAAATCTGTCGTTACGGTAGTTTTTACCTGTTATCTGTGGTGTTTACACAGTTTTTAGTAGTTAGTGTCAAAAATGGTTTGCGTGTATAGCAACTCAGAGTTGATGGATATCGTTTTAATTTATGGTGAAGCAAGACAACATATGTATTAGTTCGTAGACACTGAGTAAGACGGAAGCAAGACAT